GAAAGTATGGGAAACAATTTTATCAAGCTATTTTATCTGTGGCCTTTTTTTTTTTTTTTTTACAGTAATAATAAATAATACAAAAAAGAGGTTATTTTAATAAAGCTCTGTGTCTCAAATTAGATAAAATGTATCTAGATGCAGTGTTGCATGACGGGGAACTGACCAAGGAATTCAGTCAAACTATCACAGCACTTAAAATGGCCTGACAATGAAGAGGTATTGCAGGCTGGCACTCGAATGGTTAAGAAAAGTCCTTTTTCATTACTCCACTCCTGTTCAAACCCAAGATTGGCCCCAGCACACCCACTTTCAAGGCCTGGAGCTCTAGGTCTGCCCAGTCCTTTGGAAAATCCCTTTTATCCTGAAGATGATTTATCTAAGTGGGGAACATCTCTTAGCCTTCGTAAACACATGACCCGATTGCATCTTAGTTGCGTGGGTGCAGGAGGTGGTTTCCAGGGGCTGCAAGCTAGAGTTTCACTCCCAGCCACCTCTTTGGTTTATCGTTTCCAACCAACGCATAGATTAGTAGAGCTCCAGGTAGCCTTTGCGGGTCTTCTGGATCCAGGTGGAATTGCCCTAGTTCCTATGGTTCTATTTTAACCCGTTCATGGTTCCCAAGCCAAAAAGGGGCATCCGCCCCATCTTGGATCTCTGACCGTTTAATATCTTCATTTATACTCAGAAATTCCACATGCAATTCACCATAGAATTCTGTCACAGCCTCCCTTCACCAGGCAGATTTGCACTCCTCTGTGGCCATCAAGGATGTGTACCCACATGTCTACATATTTCCAGCACCCAAGCATTTCCTACAGTTTTTCTGGGCCTTCTGCACTTTCAGGTCATGGCTCCTATCATTAGGGCCTCTCTTCTGCTACTTGGGTCCTCACCAAGGTGCTGGTCCCAGTGCTAGCCCTGCTGTTCTCTCTGAGCATCTCCATTGTGGGATATTTGGAGGACCTCTTGTTGAGGGATCAGTCGACACATGCTGTAAAACTTTTACTGTCCAGACATTGGCTGATATTTTGTGATCTAAATTTTCATTTGTTTTGTTCTTTAAGAATCAGAAGAAAGCTGAAAATGAAGAGGAATTAGAAGTTAAGAAGCAGTTGTCAAATCATTCACATACGGAAGAAAAAGAGACGTCAGAAGTAGATTTCCGTATGTATATTTCATACACCTATGCATTACAACTTATGGACTAGTACATTCTTTTATCACTTCTTCCAAATCCTTACACTATGGAAGAGCTAGAGAAAACCTCAAAAGGTAGGTGCCAGGTGTAATTTTAACCACTTCCGGGCCACAATGCGTCTATAGGCAGCGGCCCGTTAAAGTGGTTAAAACAACACGGCTGCTGCAGCAGCCGTGTTCTTGGTACTGCTTTTAACAGCAGGCGATTGCTGTTAATGTACACGCGATCCAGCTTCTATACAGCCGCCGGATCCTTTTGTACCGTGCGGCGGCTTCCTCGGACACCGCTGTCTCCATGTGGCGCCCCTGAGCGGCTCAGCGGGTATCCCCACAGTGATCGGAGAGATATTCAGTGGCTTCGAGCCGCTGATCTCTCCTCCGATCACTGGACCCGGAACTGATGTGTATTACATCACTTCCGGTGTCACTCTTACAGTCTCTGGCTCTTAGAGCCAGTCGATGAAGCTGGGGAAGCAGATCTTTGCTTCCTCAGCTCCTTTGGGGTCCCTAGGTGACAGGGGTCTGTAAGACCCCTGATGTCTCCATAAAGAGGACCTGTCACACTCTATCTGCTATTACATAGGGGGCTTGTTAGCTCCCTATGTGATAGCAATAGGGTTAGTGTAAAAAAAAAAAAAAAAAAAAAAATTTAAAAATTAAAGTAACATATTAGTAACATACATATATTAGTAAAAGTAAAATGCAAAAAAAAATGTTTTAAGTCCCACATGCATGCACATACACACGCAAAAACGCGTTGGTGCGCCTACGTGCGAAAACAACAATTGTGCTACACATGTTGCATATGAGAGCAATAATTCTAGGGCCATCAATTACTATTGGCACTAAACTGATGCGTTTAAAATGATCCCTATGGGAAATTTGGGGTATTGCCTTTTTTGGCGGCTTCACGGACAAACGCAGTTTTAAGGCTTGGCATGTTTGGTGTCCATTTACCCTGAGTGACCCCGTCTTTCATATTTTACCAAAAAATTGGGTATTATATTATGTTTCTGTGCACTAAATTTTAATTTAGTTTTTTTCCTAAAAATACTGGTTTGATAAACATTTGCGCAAAAACTGTGACAAAAAAATTGCAGCTAGCATTTTTTTATTCTACAAAGCCTTTGCTATCAGAACATATATCATTGTTTGGGGGTCTGAAGCTGTTTTCTAGCGAAAAATTTATATTTCTCTCCCGTAGCAGACTCTCTTTTTTTTTTTCCTAAAGCAATATATTAACGTAATGCTAAAAGAGGAACTTTACCCGTATCTTTAAAATAACAACAAAGACACCTTTAGAAATGTTTAGTAATGACAATCTACAAACACATACTTCTAGATAATTGCAGGCTGTGTATGCTTTGCATACCTTATTTCTCTTTTCTTTCCCAGTCTTCTGACAGTGGCCATGTTTACTAAGGGCGGATTACTAGCTCTCCTATTACTTCCTGGAACTCTGGCACATGTGACCATGCACATCTCAGCTGAGGAAAATGCCTTTCCCTGAGATCCTGTGACATTACAGATGAGATGCAATGCTTTGGCACAATACATAATTTGTGCCAAAACTGGACCAGGAAGTAGATTAAATCTATTTGTAAGTCAATGAAAAGCAAGTTTTGTTTAATGAATATAAGATGAATTGAAATCAGCATGCAGAGCTGCATGCTGATGTGATTTTTAGTGAAAGGTGGTAACAGTGCACTTTAGGTTTACTTAATTTAAGTATTAGATTGGTCATTTTTATATTACATTCCTTTCTGTTGTGCATTACCCATCAAGGATTCAGAGTTAGGATGGATGGGCTTCTTTTGAGAATATCTAAACTATACCATATTTTGAGCAGTGCAGGCTCTCCTTCCATTTAAGTCACTGGTTGTTGCGACCGCTGGTGTCCTAACAACCAATGATGTCCGGTGTCCTCCTCAACAGTTATTGGTTGTTAGGATTGCAGTGTTCCTAGCAACCAATGACCTCAACTGTGTTCCTTGCCCCAGCATTGCAGGAGGACGCAATAGCTCTTGTATTGTCTTCCATCCTCTCCTGCAGCCTGCACTGCCTCCTGGCTTCACCTCTGAATTAACTAAGATACTATTAACTATGTGAGGTCAGTAATCTAAAATTTGGTCACTGTTATTTGCCTGATGAAGGGACTTTGTTAGGTCCCAAAACGTTCTGCATGCTTGTGATGTCATGTGCTTCTGCCATCAATAAAAAGAGGTATTGGGCATTGGTGTGCGTGTGACCGTCTTTTCTACGACAGTAATATAAAGGGGCATTCAGAGCGCACTCTCGCATTAGTTGCTCCCATCATTCATTTTCATTAATTACGAAAATGAATGGGGCACTCCAACGAGGACGCCTAATGTAATGGGGGCACTCCAACGAGGACGTCTAATGTAAGGGGGGCACTCCAACGAGGACGTCTAATGTAATGGGGGCACTCCAACGAGGACGTCTAATGTAAGGGGGGCACTCCAACGAGGACGTCTAATGTAAGGGGGGCACTCTGATGGGGAAAACTATTTGTTACCTGCAGACAGAACGAGAAAAAATTATACATGTATGGCCAGCTGACTTGTAATCTGAATGAGAATTTTAAGGCTGTCGGCATGAATCTAATGAAGACGATACAACATCTTATTAAATGCTGCTGTACAGAACATACAAAAAACATGTTTTGCCTGGCAGGTGAGGTAACTGGGTAAAATAAATAGTTAACACTTCTGGTATTTTATAGGATTTTGATACTTTCTACACTGAAGCATGGTGAGCTTGCCAATGCTAGGACCTGGAAGAACTTGGCTTTAGACATTAAACTGGCAAGTCTAAGGGCAAACACAATTGACTGTTATATACCACACTCTCCTCTGACCAGCAATTTGAATGTTTAGTTACCTTAAACAGTACTCATTCTTTCAAAGATGTATGCAGCAAGTCAACTAAAATTTTGATTATGGTATTCAGTATGGTTAAAATTACCTTTGTGATAAAAAAATAATTTTGCCTTTATCAAGATACAGGTCATGAAGGCTATGTAGAGGGTCAAGTACAAGATGCGTCTCAACAGCCAACTGCACCAGAGGAAGAAGAGGAGATAATGATTGCTCAGTCTCATGATGAAACTAGTTACAGGGAGTACGTCTCCAGAGGATGTGAAAACAAGTGTCATTCTCACTTTCATGATACACTTGGACAATCTGATGACCTTATACATCATCATCATGACTACCACCATATCTTACATCATCATCATCATCAGAATCACCATCCACATAGCCATTCTCAGCGCTACTCCCGGGAGGAGCTAAAAGATGCTGGAATTGCCACCTTGGCTTGGATGGTAATAATGGGTGATGGACTGCACAACTTCAGTGATGGTATAGCTATTGGTAAGTTTAAAAAAAAAACCTAACTTTGCAAATCGCTTCTTGCACTTCTTATCATCAGTGCAGTTTCTGTAAAACAATACTTTTAGTGTAAAGTATACTGACTATGAGGTCTCCATGCTTCTAACAGCCATACATATGAAGAATTGCAATAAGATGCCCCTCTTTCTCCTATCATTTCTGTCTATGGTGGGAACAGAAACAGGGTGGCACCCATTGGCTCTCAATTATTGTAAAGTCAGACTCCACCCAGAAATGTGGTGTTGTTGTTTTTTTTTAGCCTAGTTTTGGATATTGTGGAAAGGGGGCTGATACCTATTTCAAATGTTGCTTTTTTATGACCCCTGGGGAGAAATCCCACATTTGAAAGAGGATATGGCAACAGATGGTCCCCTCTAGGAGTTTCCCCTCATGTTCTAGTGATCACTGTAGAATTTTAGATTTCCCTTCACTTTCTGTCCAAGTAACAACAGTCAACGGGGTAGAAAATGAAAAGCTTTGCAGTGGGGTTCTAATGCTTCCACTCCCAGAAGGAATGTTTTGTCTGAAGCATAACCGCATGGTGGGCACAAAAGATTCTTCTGATTGTTTTTGTTTAGGGGATTGTTAAATTTGCAAAGTTGCAGATTCAGAGATGGGGACCAAATTGTTTATTGGTTTTGCTTTGATTTCTAAACATAATAAAGAAACGGAACCTTTGGACAATTACAACTGCACTTTACTGCAGTTACTGGATTTTCTGTGGTTTTATGTAATATAGTCTTACATTTTAGGTTTAACTAATATTGTATCTTGATTAAAAGAAAGAATTGCTGTCTGTTGCTTACTCCTCTTATAAAAAAAAATGCCATACATACCTGCAAACAAGTATAGCTTCTGCTGCATGAGTTGCAGAACACCGTTACTCTGCAGAGTTATCTCTGGGTGAAGTTTCTTCCAAAGCCAACACTTTAAGGAGTGTCTGTCTCCTGCTTCACTTACAGTGCTAAAAATAGTTCCCCCTCACTGGCTCCCATGTCACAGTCTTGCAGTGACATGGAGTTTGGAGGGAAGCAATCCTTGAGAGTTGTGGGGACGTAAGAGATCAACAATCCCTGAAGTTTTTTGGTTTTTGGAAAAGACTTCACCCAGGGATTACTGTGCTGCAGAGCGGTGCTTGCCATAGCAGGCAGTAAGTATTCCTACACTTTTTTTTTTGCAGATATGGCATTTTAAAGAAAGGTTGTGTGCGTGCCAGTCACTTTAAAAAGTTACTATAGTGTATTTCAGTAAACAACACTTTTTTTTTAGTTATTTTAGTGGTTAGTTTGATATTATTTTTATTCTAATATTTATATTCTAATAATTTACACGATATCCTTCTTCTTTCGTGCTATTTGGTTAAAGTAGAACTCCATGAAGTTATAATATATAATCTAGAGGTGCAACGAAATAGAAATTTAAAAACCGAAACTAAACCGAATTAAAAAAA